CTCTCCGTCTGATGGACTGTTGGAGCTGTGATGTGCCGAAGAAAGGTTGATCTGTGCAGGTAGGTGGTGTGCACCCGCGCGCGGGCAGGCGTGCGGGGGAAGACAGTCAGGTTCCGTTTTAGAAATTTAAAGGACGGCGGGAAATGAGTAAGGTGTATTCTGCCGATGTTGTAGGCTTCGAGGGTTGTGAGTGGTTGGTGGTGGATGGTGTGAGTCGTGGGGAGCCGTGGTCGAAGGTTTTGAGAGTCGTGGAGGTTGGCGGCTCTGCAATTCGAGAGTATGTAGCGTTGATTCATTGGTTCATGTTCGCCGCTCTTGTAACTTTCGTCGATGGGTGTGGGATGGGGGAGGTGCTTGGTTGATGGTATTGGTTGTGGAAGTGGCTGTGATGTGGGTGGTTAAGATGAAGTCGCGATTTTGAGACCGGTCGCAGTTGTATAATCTATTAAAACTACCTTGGACTGATTCTTTGATGGTTTTTATACTGATTTACGATGGTTTGAGCAGTTTTGCATGAGTTTGCGGTACGTGAGGATTTTTGATGATCTTTATTGTTCATATTGATATGCGGGATTGCTCACGACAACTTTGACTCGACTGCTTCACACCACAGCGCTTGTATTGACTGGTACATTACTCTAAATTCTGACAGCGTGTAAGACAATGAAATTCGTCCGAAAAGCGAGTTTATTGAGTGAATATGCCCGACCAGCAGACATACCATGATTCCATCTCGACCTTCGCGCCTTGAATGGACCACCCGGATGCTAGAATCCTAGGATCTCGTAATTGAAGCTTGCTATGTAGTAAGACATGATAGTATATGCTGATATAAAGAAGTTGAGGTGGTTTACTTGCACTACTTTGGATCGGGCAATGGGGATAGGTGTCGGTAGACACCTAGTTGAGGCTATCCGTTCTCGCTGCGGCTGGGCAGCCGGAGCAGATGCCGACATTTAGAAGCCGGAATTAGACCAGCAACTTTCTACGAAGCTTCGAAAATGTAGAAGTCTCCTGGACTCATAGGTCGCGCGATTCCAAGGTGGTTGTGGGAAAGGACCTTGCCTTACAACACAAGGGGTATGTTCCCCCTAACACGGCTGACGAGAGCCCCGCGGTAGCCAAGCAATTCCAGGGTACGGAGGATAAGGTACTTAGGCAGTGGTCGTGCAGGTTGAATTCAAAGGCTATGTATTATGATGACTTGCTCATAAGCTCTATCCTTTCACCGTGCCATGGTCGCTCTACTCTCAGCCATCTAATTCAGGGGCCTGGCGGCCTCGCCGTTGGCTATGCTTTTCCCCTCATCCATCCTGACAACATCAAAGGTTTTCCAGTCGCTTGTCCCTTCTCGGCAAGCTTTCATATACGGCGGAATGCCGCCGACGTAGTTGAGCTGTTCTCTCGGCTTGCCCGGTATGTTGGCGCCGAGATACCACGAAGAGTCGTTTTTCCGGAAGAGAGTTGCCTCGTTGATGGATAGAATCAGCTCTTTCCACTGCTCTTCTGCTTCGCGCCGAGGCTCGATGGACTTGACGTTCTCAGCGCGCAGCTTGGATATGAAGTCCGTGATGAATTCGACTTGCTGTTCAATAAAGGGTGGGGCGTTCGTGAGAGCCGTTGGTGCTGTTTGAGGCAGTCGTTAGCTTGGCTGTCTTGACGTCTGCTAGTTGGGACTTACCTTGAGGACCGTATATCATGAACATGTTCGGGCATCCTCTGACCATGAGCCCGAGATACGTCCAAACACCATCTTTCCATTTCTCCTTCATGTCAACCCCATCTTTCCCCCTCAAACCCATGCTCGTTAGGCTGCCCGTACAGTTATCGTAGCCGGTCGCGAGCAAAACAATATCGTGCTCCCTCTCCGTCCCGTCCTCCGTGACAATGCCTCTCCTTGAAAACTTTTGGATAGGGTTCTTCTTCACCCCCACAACCTCGACATTGTCCTGGTCAAGACACTCGTAGTAGTCCTGCTCCAGGCTGCTCCTCTTCGTCGCAAAGGGGAACGGCGGCTCCTCCGGCACCACAATTGCCCTCTTCGCCGGATCACGCACCCTCGGCCCCGTCTTTGTCTTCCAAAACTCGTACATGGACCGATTCGCCTTCTCGTCAATCAAGTAGTCCACATAGTTCCCCGCCTGGAAGTTGAAACCCCCCCGATGCCATAGCTCCTCCCAGAACGCCTCCCTCTCCTCTTCCGAAGCCTGCGCCGCCACCTTCGTCGTCCCGTCGCATGGCAGCCCTGGCATGCTCTCCCTTGCAGCCCTGAACAGAATCCCATACACCGACTTGAGCTGCCGCTGCTCCATCTCCGTCATCTGCCGCTGCACCATCGGCAGCGCAATGTTCGGGTTGCGGATGTACACCGTCAGCTCGACGCCGTCCGCCTTCGCAATCTCCTGCACACACTGCACCCCCGTCGCCCCGGCCCCGATCACCGCAACCCTCTTCCCCCGAAAGTCGATGCCCTCCTCCGGCCATGACGCCGAGTGTACCACGACCCCCTCAAACTCATCTATACCCGCAAAGGCCGGTTCGTACCGCTTATTCGAGCTCCCCGTCGCCGGAATCAGAAACCTCGCCGTGATCCTCCTCCCGGTATCCGTCTCAACACTCCACAACCCCGTCTTCTCGTCAAAATCAGCCCCGACGACAACCGTGCCGTAGCTCACATCCCGCGATATATCCAGCACATCGTCCACGTGCCGGAAATACCGCTTAATCTCCTCGTGCCCGGGGAACCGCTGCGACCACGCCCAGTCCTTCCACACCTCCTTCACCGAGAGCTGGTAGTACGGCGCCTCGGAGTCGACGCGCGCGCCGGGGTACCGGTTCCAGTGCCACACGCCCCCGAGCGCGGCGCCGGCCTCGACGATGTGCGCGCGCAGCCCGAGCCGCCGGAGCTGGTGCAGCGCGTAGACGCCCCCGAACCCGCCGCCGATGATGAGCGCCTCGTAGTCCATTTCCGCGTCCGGTGTGCTGTTGGCGCCACCATATCCGACGCCGGCGAGGCGGCGGCGGCTCTTGTACGGCTGGGCGATGGAGCCCATTTTGGCGGTGTCTAGTCAGGCGGGAAGCTAATCGACGGTCGGGTCGAGTCAAGAGGAAGAGAGTTTTGGCAGGAAGGAGTCAGGTTGGTTTTGAAAGGGGAAGGAACGCGACTCAACGTGAGAGATGAGTCGAATTGTGAGGGTTGGGTGATTGGGTGACGAGTTCAGACGGTGGTTTTTGGGTTTGCGCTGGAGGGCATACCTGAAGCTGTGGTCTCTTTTCAGTCCCATGTTTGTCTCCTCGCCCGCCCGCCGGCAGATAGACCTGGAAACATGGAAACACGGAAACATGCTAACATGCCAAGTAGGGAAGTCAGGGCTCCTCGTGTGACGCCTACTTGCCTCCGCGGAACCCTTGTCCGCGAGTGTCTTTGGTCTTCTCACGACTCTGCCGGAGTCTGGGGTGTTCAGGCGAGAGATCCTACTAATTCATCAATGATCGACAGAGGAGCTTGGAGTTTTGTTTGAAACGGATAGTGGCAGTCGGGGAACCTTGCCGGCGTTGCATCGCGGGGGGCTGGATGGGTCCATGTTAGCTCTCGCGGGGAAGATGATGGCGACTTCCGCTTTCCGAGGATATGCAGGTCATGCGCGACATCCCATGGTGATTAGTCGAGGCCACCTAGAGAGCAGGGTTGGAGCGGTCTGGAGGTTGGAGAGTTTGAGTAAGGCTTTCCCCTGGCCGATTAGCTGTGCGATTCAAGGCACTTTGCAAGCAGCATTCTATCACGGTGATGCGCTTTCGTGTTCAAGAGCTTGGTGAAACGTTTGAGCGGCTCAAAGTATGGGCTGAGGCTTTTGTTATCTGCTGCTGGAGACTGGTGAATAGAGTCGCTCTTCGTCATGGGTCAAGAGATGTACATCATGTCGTAGGTAGGGCCAACAAGCCCACCATGCCAAGTAGTCCACCACTTTCAGGGGTCTGGTTGGGCTGAAGAGGTGAAATTCATCCTCAATTTGTTGATTAGTAGCTAACCAGATCAACTGCTGCTTACACCCGATTAGCGTCTTGGGATGATAGATTGTCGGAAGCAGACACCTTGACTGGCAAAGACATAAGGAATGCTTCTTTCTTATGGTAAAGAGTAGATGAAATCATTTCAATGAAAGGCTTGACACCCGGTTAACAACCTGCCGAGTTGTGATTATGTCATGTCTGACCCCCAACTTGGGTGCGGCGGGTGCCTGGAACTCCATGATGACCTCTACGTTGATACCCCAGCACCAGAAGCAATACTCAGCACACCTGTTCCCCCGCACGTGCAAAGGAAAGATGGAAGAAAAGGCTGAAGGCAACAAATCAAATTTGGGAGACGCCCATCTCTCATCATGCCCGGCCAATGAGGTCGCTTGGTGGTTGACGGCCTCCTGCAGCACCAACGGGCAACACACCGCCACAGTGACGAAGTAGAAAAACAAAGCCAGGAGGGAGCTGGTCTCAAGATGCGGAGAAATCGATCTTTCCATAGGCTTCTTCTTGCTGAGGAAAAACAAAACACACGTCTCAAAGGCCTCCTGCATTGCACCATGCTTCAGTTCCGTTAATGAGTCTCAGTGGAAAGGGTCAAAGAAGTGATCTTGGAGCCTGCAGCAATCTGTGAATACGAGTATCATAGAACGTTCTGAATAACCAATCCGGAAGGAGGGCTGGAAAGTCTGCTCGGTCGACAACAAACAGCCTCTCCAATTGACCGCCGCCTTGCTACCTTACCACCTTACCACTTCCACATCCTCTGTCCCTTCTCACCTCCTCATCTCCCCCTCTCATCCACCCACCGCAAATTAAAGATTCTTCATCCTTTGGTTATCTCTACGTACGGTATCACCACAGCCTCCCACTTTTGAGGTTCAACCCGGAAGTAGTGCTTATCGTACCCATCTGACAAACACCCGCAATCTCCGAGAATATTGCGCCTACTCTCAACAGAATCGGTATCGACATCAACCATGGCGTCCGATGAGGGCCCGACTCTTGCGGCTCTGAAAGAATGGAGGTCATCGTTAAGTCCTCTCAGAGTCGACATCGTCGGCGACTTCGCCGGGAAGGAGCTCTTCGCCATCCATGGCGAGTCGCTCGTCGCTCATTGCCTCGCGCAAGCCAAAGTCGACTTCAAAGGTTTGCCATACTTTAAATTCTTGCTCAACATCTCTGAATCAAGTTTAATGAATCTTGATCACTGATATTCTGTAGATGGCTTCCAGCTGCTCCACGCGGTTCATGCCGTCGAGACATTCCTCAGCAAATTGCAGGAGCGCGGTTGCAACTTCCATGTCCTCTGGTTCGACAGCCAAGAGCAGCTTTGCGTGCCGCACGATGTTTTTGAGAAAAACCGACACAAGTACCTATTGACGCGTGCCGTTCTCATGGAGCATCTGCGCACCCCGACGCCCCGCGACAACACGACCACAAACCCTTGGCCAGATGATTCGGATGATTCGCCGGATATATGGGCACACAGTTGGACGGATGCTTCGACCGATGCTTCCATGGATCTCATCAGGCATGGAACGCCTATGAGCTTTGTCTTCTCTACCATCCAAAGCAAAGAATTCGAAGAGTACATGGAGAAGAACTGTCTTCACTTCGTGATGTGTTCTGAGGGAAGCGACTTTGACTCAGCGCCTGAGGTGAACGACAGTGTCGGTAGCGGCAACCACCTCAAGGCCATGCGCTTGTTCGCCGACCAGGGACATAACCTCGCGTTCATTGATGATATTGAATTCCGGAGTTCCAAGGTCAATCTTGCCCATACATATTTTCCCAAAGAGCCTGACTGAAAGCGAAGCAGGTCTACGCGCATGTCGTCACGTCGGCGCGTTCCGAAGATCCCATCAAAGTATCTGAGCCCGAGCCTCGCAGCATTACGACTGACGAATGGGTTCAGTTTGCATCAGTATTCGACAGCTGGTCGGAACTGAGACCTGTTCACCTCAGTGATACCACAGAAGTGAGAGTGCGAGATGAGATCGCCTGGGTTGCGTGTGCCACTTTGTACTGGGCAAAGCCGGACGCTGCTACTGAGCAATATGTTACTGCTTTTCTTATCCACATTGCGCTTCTTGAACACACTGAGCTTACTCGACGATCCTGCGATGCGCTGGAGGAGAGCATACCTGATGACGTCGCTTCGTTTCTCGAAGGGTTCTCGAACATTGCCATCCCAATGATTCGGAAGTGGATGATCAGCCGCAAGTCCATGGGTGCGCATGTCAACTGGAGAGTCTTCGACCTGGTGGACGGACGGGTCTTTCTGCACATTTTGCAGAAGCTTCAATCTAAGAAACTTGCTGTGGACTTTCGACAGATTGAATATCATCACAGAGAAATCCGACTACTTATCGATGTGGATATGGAGCGCCTCTTGTCTCAACAAGACCCCACGGACGAGCAGCCTGCGTTGAATGCCGCCCCAATCTTCGACCTCCTCAACATGGAGCTGGAGAAGACACGCGCTGCCAACAAAGTACTGCCCTTCAGCCATCCCGTGCTGGACTCTTACTTGAAGGAAATCCAGCTCGACACCGACCAAGACTGGCAGAAGTCATCTACAGGCTCCAAGATCTTCCAAGATCTCACACACTGGCACAATGCGAAGAGACCGCTCGACGCTAAAGCCCAAAGCAAACCAATGGAATGGCGGGCCCACAGAAGAATGCAGAGATTCATGGCAGATACCATGAAATACTCGGCTAGCTTGACCAATGCTTCTGGCAAGAACATCGAGCCAGAGCCTATTGTTGCTCATGGCACCCGCAACAACGGCCAAGCAGACAACGGAAAAGACGATGCGGAGGCGAACTCCTGGAAGAAGCAGCTTTCGCAGAAAGACGCCGCTAAGGCAGTCAAGCGCGGCGCAGGAAGTGGAACGATAAATGCCCGGAAAGCAGGCGAGGAGCTCAAGAACGCCAGGCTGGATTCGAGAGGTGCTGCTGTCATTACCTTCTTTGCACAGCAGTACCAGGACTTCAACAAGATCCAGTCGCCGGCCAAGAGATATCTGAAGGCAAACAGGTACATGCTGGGTCTCTCGAATCAAGACAGACAGACATTTGGAGGAGAGTTGTTGCTGTACATTTGCGAGACCTTGTTGGAGCTCCTCGGCGAGCCGCCTTTCATTGCCAAAGGTGAGATGAAAACGTTGCAACGGGATGAGACTGAAGTATTGGACAACAAGCTAACGAAAGAGTTCACAGATATGAGTATCATTGCCCTCCTTCGTTCCCATCTGTTGCATACAAACACCGTGTCTCTTACCAAACCAACAAGGAGGCACCTCGAATCCCTTGCACGCGCCATGCGGCTCCCACCGCCTCCGAGCGCTGATTCCAAGACCATCGATCGCCCGATCCCCTTCGCAAGCAAAACGGCTGTCGCGAAAGAGGTTTTGAAGAGAGGGTTCTTCGAGGAGAAGGCTGCTCGAAAGTTCCAGTTGGAACACTGCGGACCGTATCTGGAACGAAGCTTCGACTCTGCCCCCGATGGCCGTGTGCCCTTCGAGCCGGATGCCTGGCAGAGAAAAGTTCTCGACGCAATCGATCAAGACAAGAGTCTCTTCGTGGTGGCCCCAACGTCTGCCGGAAAGACATTTATCTCATTCTACGCCATGAAAAAGGTCCTCCAAGCTAACGACGACGACGTTCTTGTGTATGTCGCTCCCACAAAGGCGCTTGTGAACCAGATCGCGGCCGAGATCCAGGGTAGGTTCTCGAAGACGTACCACACTGCCGGCAGATCTATATGGGCAATCCACACTCGCGATTACCGCATCAATAACGCCACTGGTTGCCAAGTACTGGTCACTGTTCCTCATATTCTGCAGATCATGCTCTTGGCCCCATCCAATGCCAAAAAGGCCAATTCTTGGTCCCACAGAGTGAAGCGCATCATCTTCGACGAAGTTCACTGCATTGGTCAGGCAGAAGACGGCATCATCTGGGAGCAACTTCTGCTTTTGACCCCTTACCCCATTATTGTATTGTCTGCAACGGTCGGAAACCCTCTCGAGTTTAAGGAGTGGGTGGCTGGGACCCAGAAGGCAAAAGGCTTTAACCTTGAGATGGTTATCCACTCTGCGAGATACTCAGATCTGCAAAAGTTTATATACTAAAATAGTTATAGGCCTAGCGGCTGAGAGCTATATAATATAGCGGCGTATATATACCTAAGGGCGTATAGAGCTACTATAACTATATAACTCTATAGTTTTAAAGCCTATAATCTTAAAAAAAAAAAGAAAGGACTTCTTATTTACTTTATAGATCTAAAATAAAAAGAATAGGATTAAAAACTTAAAAATCTATTAAAAAATAAGTAAATTTTATTTCTAATTTATAAAGATTAATAATAATATTTAAACTAACTTCTTATTTCTTAAAAGGGGTTACTAATTTAATCTCTAAATATTAAAAATATTAAAAAATTTAATAAATTTATTAAACTTTATTTTAATTA